TATATATATATATATATATATATATATATATATATATATATATACACACACACACACACACACACACAGATGGTCTGTTTGAAAAGAACAGACTAAGAGATAATATCCTGCTAGTTACAGCTTTGTTTACAGCTAATTTAGACATCCACTGTAAACACAGCTGGCAGAGCAGAAGTAACTTCATGATAACTAGTGCTGTCAGGTTTCTTAGCAAGTGAAGAGATAAATATGGTATCTGATTAGCTGGGCCACGTCAGTTTCTCAAGCAGAATCTCACAGGTGATCACTGAGGAATGAACAAACAAACTTTATTTTTAAAGGGTTGAGAATTGGGCACACATTGGGCCTGTCTAACATTCCCTCCTTTGAGGTCTCCTTCCATTCTTACAGGAAGACCAGACAAAGCTACTGAAGTAACCATGTGACATCTGGAACATTCTAGACCGATGGCGAGGCATCATCAATTTGCATGTGTAAACATTAGCAGGTAACAATTACACCAGAGAGTGTATCACTTGAAATTATCCTCACTACCTGGCGGCTGAGAGTATGCGTGTACAGATGGTATCATAGTAGTAGTAACTGGCAACTTTCACACATTAGTTTCTGCAAGAGTGGTTGGTATAAGCATGCAGCTAACATTCTTGTCACTATGCTAGTACTCTTAACAAGCTTCACATGCTCAGGGATATGTAAACCGAATGGCTCATTCATAACAAATAGTAAACAGTCATAATAAATAGCAAAATGATGCACTTTTTTTGTTGCAGCGGAAGTGTAAGCAGCAATTACAGCCATTACACATGTAAGCTCCCACTGCTCCGCACCTCACGTAGCCCAGCAAGCCATTCATTAACTGCCTTTACCTCTCACAACTTTTCATGTACACCATACAAAACACAATTCTACAGAACAATGTGTAGAACCATTTTTATTATTGCAGCCTGCCACATTAAGGGGTCTTCTGGCTTCCTGAGAGATTACAAATGGAATACAGCATATTCAGGTACCATAAAATAAGTTATAGCAATAAATTTAATTGCAGTATATATAGTGCTTACTTTGCAGTAAACAACAGACTAATCTGAGTTTTCAGGTTGTCCAGTTTTAATTAATATATTTATTCTCATCTGCAAGATTGTACAAAGGAATGACAAAATTGTAGCACCATTAAATGTTAGGCACAGAACTGAGTGACTAATATAATAAACAAACTGAGCAACTAGCTTTATATACAAATCGGAGGTTCGACAAAATCATTAATGCAAAGCTTAGAATGAGAACTAAATAAACTGTTGAGAATTAAGAAATGAGAAACATGTGCTGGCGCTCGGTAGATGGGATACATTTGGAGGAAACCAGATAAAAACCAACAATGGTAACACAATAAAAGAAATTAAACGACAACTATCAGTTGCTCTTCAAAGATTAAAACAACTGAATAAATTATGGAGTGGGACAGACAGAACTACACAAATTAGATTTCTAACACCATGCATCTTTCTCATTGCAACATACGCCTCGGAGACCTGGACACTTACAAAACAACTGAACAGCCCATAAATGCCTTTGAATACAAATGTTACAGACTGGTTCTAGGAATATCATGGGCAAACAAATGCATCCATACTTCAGGAACTGAATATTTAAGAAGGTTGGCTATTAAAGACGATAGAACACAGAAAACTGAAAGAGTCTGGCCACTTGAAAGTCACGAAAGTTTAGAGAGAACAATAATGGAGGGGTATATACTCGGGAAGGGAGAAAGAGGATGGCCAAAGAGAAGCTGGATGCAGGATGTGGCAGATGATCTTCACATGGGTGTATCAGACGTGGGACATCTTGCTTGTGATCGAGAAGTTTCTGGGAGGTTGTTATGGGAGCAAGGTTCTGCAAAGGACAGGCTACTGACTGAGATAACCAGGTAGAATATACTTTTTCAAAGGAACCCTCAAAGCAAAAGAAACAGAGGGAGACAGATAAAAAACGAAGAAGAGAATTTGATACAAATGAACATGGAGGTAACTAAAACATTGGAAATTATAAAGTTCCATCTGGTGTTTTCTTGAAAGATCTGAACATCAAGGAAGATTGGCTAATAAACAGCATCCTGTCTCGAAAGCTGAAATATTTTGGTCATATCAAGCGCCACGACGGATTGAAAAAAAAATAATAGCAGAAGGCATGTCACCAGGAAGGAGGGGCAGGGGCCGACCGACACGAAGATGGGCAGAGGATATAAGTGACTCCTTGAGTATGAATGTACATGAGGCAGGAGAGCTGGCGAGAGACCCAGTTTCTTACAGGCAGACTATGATGAGAGCGACGTTCTGCAAAGGACCTGCTAAATGATGATGATGCTCTGGTGTTTGCTGTACAAATGCTGGTATCCAGGGTCTCAGATATTCCATCGACAGTATCGACGGCTTGCATGGGTAGCCTCTAGCTCTGCTTCCATTGTGTCTAAGAAGTCACTTATACCCTGTGCCCATCTTCGTGCTGGTCAGCCTCTGCCTTCTGGTATCATGCGGTTTGCTATTATTTTTAACATGGCTGTTTACATGTTTATTTGATTAACATGGTCAAAATATTTTAGTTTCTGAGAAATGATACGTCTATGATAATCAGATTGTGGATAATATCAGTATTATCCCTCTCCTTGGTCCATGATACTCAAATAAAGGTCCCTTTACATATCAGTGGCGCACTAGGCATATGAGGCTAGGCTCATTTGTTTCTAGACCAGTTAGTTAGTTAGTTAGTTGGGTTATCATCATTGCACTCCGGACATTTCCATAGGTGCTCAGATCCTCCCCTCAGTATGAACCCCAATGTCCGATGGCTAATAGTACCAGTTCTATGTTGATTAACAAGTCGTCTGGTGTGCGTCTCGTTTTTTGCTGTGCCGATCTTAATTCCCAAGTCTGCCATTCTGGTGAGTGATGTGGATTCACTGCCACCAAAGTCCTCTATTCTTCCCATTTCTCTGAGGGCATTAATAATATCAGCATGATCCATAGGCTGACCATCGGTAGTGATAGCGGATCCAGCCAACCTATCAAATCTTTCATTGATCATCGACACCTGCGTGTCAACAAAAATAAAGGTGACTCCATGCACAGTAGACTTCTGTAATAATTCAAGCCATTGTCTTGGCACCGAACCTGCCTGAACCCTCTGGATCATACTCATTGAATCACTGAGTACGCATGCGCGGGTGTAGTTTTGTGTTTCGAGCCAGGCGAACACTTGCGTCACTGCCATCACCTCCATCGTGGTTATCATGAAGAAGGCCCCGTTGGTTTCTTTGACTGTTTTGCCCACTGAGCGTGCTGTGAATGCCCATGCGCTTCTTTTTTGGCGTATAACGGATCCGTCTGTGTAGATTAGTGCATCTGCTTCGTCTGAATTTTCACTGATGAGAGCTTTGACCTTTGCATTAACAGCAACAGGATTCTCTACTCGACATCGCCTGTAGAGTTGTGGCAATACAGGAAAATGTACAAATAAACGCATGACGCACAGGTATCCACTCTGCACCATGGGTGATGTCGGTTAGGCTGCATATTTGCCTAATAACATCTTCTGGCTGACCTAGCCATGATTTTCCCCTCTTCAGCCTGTCACCCATTTCACTAAAAAGTGCTTAATGCAGTGGGTGTTTCTTATCAGCACATATTTTAAGGTATGCATGAGCCCTCCAGATCCTGATCCTTTGGTTCATTGTTGGAAAGTCAAGTAGATACCTCATTGCTCCACAGGATGTGTCTCTTGTACATCCCAAAATAATGCGCATGGCTTCATTGTGCACCTTTTCAAGTCGTTCAATCTAGACCAATCGATAGGTAATGTGGTCAACAGAATGCTGGCCACCTTTACTTCCCAGAATCTTGCTTGGTTCCTATTTAAGACCAGGTTTGCCTGAGAGCCAAGGTCATGTTTGAAAAATAATCTGGCTCCATGCGGATTTGAACCCATGACCTTTGGATCCGCTGGTGAATGTCTAGCTGCTATACCTTGGCAGCTCTCCCATGATACTCAAGGAATGTTAATATAATATTTAAGTTTGAAACCCTGAATTTTCCCTTTTTTGTAGTGAAATGCAAACAATTTTTTCTTTATCAGTGTCTTTAAATTATATAGTGTGATAAACATCCTAGTTTACAGCCAAAAAACTCTCCATAAATGTAACTGAAATAAAGATTTAAATAGCAAAACAGTCATCTTATACAAAAATTCCTCTAGTAAATACAGGAATAAAAAAATATGTTTTTCACAACAGACATTTGCCACATCCGAGACTGCTTTGAGTGGTCGGTACTGTAGTTGAAATTATGAGCAAGCAGAAATATTAAATAACACAGTTATAAATGGATGTTAATGTTTCATAATAAATAATGAAATGGCGTTAAAGCGCGATGGAGAAGATGGTGTTTTTATAAGAATTTTGAGATCATAAGAAAACAAATGTTGATGTACAAGCTTATACTGGTTTGACAATTATTGGAAGCAATGGACAAAATCTGGGGCAGATGATATCTTTATCACATTAAAAGTGAGAGAGAGAGACAGAGGAGGGTAGAGAGAAAGAGAGACAGACATCAGAGAGAGATGAGGGGGGAGGAGGAGAGAAAAAGGGATAAGGGAGAGACAAAGAGAGAGATAAAGGAGTTATTGAGATGAACTGAGATGAATAATCTTATAAGTTAGGGAGTACGACAAAAAATATCTTTCTTCATTGTTTTATTTAGCATTCACATATCTAAACATTTTATTTGGTTCAGATCTAAAGTTAGAAACAATGAACTTAAAAAATAAATAAAAAAGATACACACAACACTTACATGCACCCCCTCCACCCACACAAGTCAGCTAGTAAATGACAGGGGCTTAAACACTTCTTACATAAATAGAAATTGTCGCAATTTTTTCTGATTGGCTTCGAGCGATCCCTATATGCTGCCCTTTGAAAGATAGTGAAAATCCACATCAAAGCTGGTCTATTCAGGAGAAGATTCATGCATTCTCTTCCGGTACCGTTTCTTCACCACATCCAATATAGGTCTCTCAGAGTTCAATGTTACATTTTCTGACTGTGACAACAGCGAGGGTTCTGGAATATTCAACATTGGAGTAGATAATCTGTCAATCTTGTGAGCTACATCCTGGCCAACCACATAAGATTTTGTGGCCACTGAAGACAAAGAATCTAATGGACCTGTAGCACCAACAGTACTGTCAGTAAACAGATGTTCAGCACCAACAGTACTGTCAGTAAACAGATGTTCAGTAGGCGTGTGTTTAGTGGGAACATGTCCTGCAGAGCTACGGTCTCGAACCTGTGGCTTCTTCTCTGGACTGCTGCTCTGGCCAGCTGGCTTTTGTGACCTCCTTGAGAAAGCCAATCGGACGCTTTCCATTGGTGGATAAAAGAGAAGTACTCGTTTGAACGTGAAGTGAGTCAAATTTACTGGAGAGTTTGTGACAGAATTCACTGGGGAAAAAAAAAAGATCGAATGTGTTTTTAAACATGTAAATACATAAAAGGATATCTTTTGTGATAGAAAAGGTACCTACTATGGCTGGCAATGCATGGTACTTGAGTGAAATGGAAAAATATTTAATACCACATTTAATGAGTTATACTACAGCATATGATCTCATATAAAATATTTAATTTTTAATTAAATAAAAGGATATGATTCTGTTGAAGTTATTCTTCTTCTTCTTGGCGTTCACCAGCTGTACACTCTGGCGGAAAGTTCTGGTTGCTCGTCCACTACTGATGCAGTCCTGATCCAGAATCTGAGTGTTGCGTGTGCATCAGTTTTACAGATCTCATTCTCTTGAATACAGACTGTTGGTTCCTTGCCTCTCCGGCAGATGCACTCCGACTTCAAAGGAAGCTCCCCAATTAGTCGACTCTTACGACATGCTTTTGGGGAGGCAGTGGGTCTATTCTTGTACTCCCCACAATGGGGCCCCGGAACCCACACGGGGGGAAGTTATTCTGATTTCAAACCCTTGCACATAAAAGCTGTTCAGACACTAGATCTAAGAGTGTGCATTCTGGTGCAAACAAACTGGGTGTGTGTGGAGCAACAATGGCTGACCTTGAAGAAACTATTTATATCCTATCCTTCTTCTCTTGTAACAACATATTTTATATTTGATTTGAGAGCCACCACAGACTAAAATGTCATTACATCAGGCTCTAAGAGTTGATCATTTTTAACATGTTTGCTCTAAGAAGCTGATATTTTGGTTTTGCCATTCATCAGAAATCTCTGTAAGACCAATAATTCAGAATCACGGAAAAACCCAGTCCTTGTTATTCCTATATAATTATTCAGCTATTGTTTGCAAATGTGCAATGTTTTCATGGGCATGGCATGTTATTCAAATTAGCATTTGGGAGTGGGGGGGGGTGCAGTGTTGAAGAGAATTATAAGGATGTGTTTCTAACTAATGCGCTGATCGAAAAAAAGATTTTTATAATGTTTCTACAGGAAGAATTGTATTAGAAATCCCAGATTATGACCCTTTTTTCGTCTGGGGTCCTGATGACTGGAACATGAGTGGCAAGCTTCACTTCAAAGATAGTCAGCATACTTTGGATATTTGCTCTAGGCTGGATCTGCATCACTGGGTGGTGAACTGATACATGACAAGGCAGATGTGGTCAAGCACCTTGAGAATAGGTAATAAAGTCAGAATAGAAAATAGATTATTATGGCCTGGAGAAATGATGCACCTGGGTGTGACCAGAGGGTCTGGCCAGCTCACTACACTCAGAGGGTCTGGCCAGCTCACTACACTCAGAGGGTCTGGCCAGCTCACCACACTCAGAGGGTCTGGCCAGCTCACTACACTCAGAGGGTCTGGCCAGCTCACTACACTCAGAGGGTCTGGCCAGCTCACTACACTCAGAGGAAAGGCAAGATGGACATATAACCAGACTATGACCAGTACAGTTAGTGGGCACTGAAGATGGGGACGGAGAGCGTGTGGGAATGCCCCGAGTGCTGTGATGATAATTCTGGTCTTAACAAGACTGGAACATCACCGCATCAGACTTGAAGAGTTAATTCCCTTTAATGCTTCTGATGACACAACCACCCGACATCAGACTTTAGGGGTTTCCCAAGTGGGTTTTAGGATTCCAATTTGGGGGAAGAAAAAAAAGAATAGACCCACGGCCCTTCCCCCAACAAGCATGTCATAAAAAGAAACCAATCAGGGGTTTTTCTTCAAAGTCAGAGTGCATCTGTCTGAGAGACGAGGAAGCAATCAACTTCTCTAAATAGATCAAAGTCTCAAAGTGGACAAACAACCAGAAATTTCTGCCAGAGCTGACAGTGGTGAACATGAAAAAGAAGACGATGTTAGGGGCCTAATCTCAAGCCTTACCCTGGAGTTTGCCTGTTGCACAAGATGCAACAGATTTCTGCTCGCTGCACAAGATGCAACAAATTTCTGCCTGTTGCACAAGATGCAACAGATTTCTGCTTGCTGCACAAGATGCAACAGATTTCTGCCTGCTGCACAAGAGGCAACAGATTTCTGCCTGTTGCACAAGATGCAACAGATTTCCGCTTGCTGCACAAGATGCAACAGATTTCTGCCTGTTGCACAAGATTCAACAGATTTCTGCCTGTTGTACAAGATGCAACAGATTTCTGCTTGCTGCACAAGAGGCAACAGATTTCTGACTGTTGCACAAGAGGCAACAGATTTCTGCCTGTTGCACAAGATGCAACAGATTTCTGCCTGTTGCACAAGATGCAACAAATTTCTGCTTGCTGCACAAGATGCAACAGATTTCTGCTTGCTGCACAAGATTCAACAGATTTCTGCCTGCTGCACAAGATTCAACAGATTTCTGCCTGTTGCAAAAGAGGCAACAGATTTCTGCTTGTTGCACAAGATGCAACAGATTTCTGCCTGTTGCACAAGATGCAACAGATTTCTGCCTGTTGCACAAGATGCAACAGATTTCTGCCTGTTGCACAAGATGCAACAGATTTCTGCCTGTTGCACAAGATGCAACAGATTTCTGCCTGCTGCACAAGAGGCAACAGATTTCTGCTTGCTGCACAAGAGGCAACAGATTTCTGCCTGTTGCACAAGAAGCAACATATTTCTGCCTGTTGCAAAAGAGGCAACAGATTTCTGCTTGCTGCACAAGAGGCAACAGATTTCTGTCTGTTGCAAAAGAGGCAACAGATTTCTGCTCGCTGCACAAGATGCAACAAATTTCTGCCTGTTGCACAAGATGCAACAGATTTCTGCTTGCTGCACAAGATGCAACAGATTTCTGCCTGCTGCACAAGAGGCAACAGATTTCTGCCTGTTGCACAAGATGCAACAGATTTCCGCTTGCTGCACAAGATGCAACAGATTTCTGCCTGTTGCACAAGATTCAACAGATTTCTGCCTGTTGTACAAGATGCAACAGATTTCCGCTTGCTGCACAAGATGCAACAGATTTCTGCCTGTTGCACAAGATTCAACAGATTTCTGCCTGTTGTACAAGATGCAACAGATTTCTGCTTGCTGCACAAGAGGCAACAGATTTCTGACTGTTGCACAAGAGGCAACAGATTTCTGCCTGTTGCACAAGATGCAACAAATTTCTGCTTGCTGCACAAGATTCAACAGATTTCTGCCTGCTGCACAAGATTCAACAGATTTCTGCCTGTTGCAAAAGAGGCAACAGATTTCTGCTTGTTGCACAAGATGCAACAGATTTCTGCCTGTTGCACAAGATGCAACAGATTTCTGCCTGTTGCACAAGATGCAACAGATTTCTGCCTGTTGCACAAGATGCAACAGATTTCTGCCTGCTGCACAAGAGGCAACAGATTTCTGCTTGCTGCACAAGAGGCAACAGATTTCTGCCTGTTGCACAAGAAGCAACATATTTCTGCCTGTTGCAAAAGAGGCAACAGATTTCTGCTTGCTGCACAAGAGGCAACAGATTTCTGTCTGTTGCAAAAGAGGCAACAGATTTCTGCTTGCTGCACAAGAGGCAACATATTTCTGTCTGTTGCACAAGAGGCAACAGATTTCTGCCTGTTGCACAAGAAGCAACAGATTTCTGCTTGCTGCAGAAGAGGCAACAGATTTCTGCCTGTTGCACAAGAGGCCACAGATTTCTGCTTGCTGCACAAGAGGACACAGATTTCTGCCTGTTGCAAAAGAGGCAACAGATTTCTGCTTGCTGCAAAAGAGGCAACAGATTTCTGCCTGTTGCACAAGAGGCAACATATTTCTGCTTGCTGCACAAGAGGCAACTGATTTCTGCCTGTTGCACAAGAAGCAACATATTTCTGCCTGTTGCACAAGAAGCAACAGATTTCTGATTGTTGCACAAGAGGCAACAGATTTCTGAGATGGGGTGACTACTTCCCATACTCATTATATTTTGCTTTCCAGGTTTCAGCAAACACTATCCTAACTACTCTAGAACCTGACCTCAGTCCCTCCAAAAGACGACGATGTTATGAAAGAAGCGTTTAGGAGGTTACTCAGTTCTTAAGCTTGAAATAATTTATTCAATACTTACAGTATGCAGATAACTCAACCTTGGATCTCTGAAAGATTAGAAATTTGTGGAACTTGAGCAAGTAAATCAGCAGAGAAATTCTAGAATAACCTAATTAAAATTTTTGTTTAAAGTAAAAAAGTGTACACAGCAGTGGAATTGAATGACGGTCTCTTAGGCAGGCATTGTTATATTTTATATTTGTTACTATGTTTTTTTTGGTTCCCGTTTATACAAGACCAGGTGTATCAAATTTGTATGCTGTCCCTAAGTTATTTAAATAAAATATCCCTAAGTTATTCAACTAAAATGTCCGTAAGTTATTCAACTAAAATGTCCGTAAGTTATTCAACTAAAATGTCCGTAAGTTAGTCAACTAACACACAAAAAGCATTTGTAAACAACCTGGAGAAATATCCTGACCATGTATTAACACAACAATAGTAAGTAAACAATCTGAGATGTGATGAAGAAAGTTGCTAGCGGAAAGTGAGTAAGGGTTATGAGACCTTTGGAGCAAATAAATAGGCACAGTACAGAACATGTCTTCAGGGCCATGTTTAGAATGCACGATGTGCCTGTTTTCTCTCCTCAACTAAACGTTAGCATCGCTATTGATAAAAGCAATAAAAATATACAGATTTTATTACTATTAGTTATTTCTGACACCCTGAACATTTTGCCACCCTGTGCAGCTACACATGTTTCACATGACTAGGGTCCTGCATGTGTTATATATCTGTAGTTACAACAACAAAAAATTTTACATTAGTGTAAATGGCAGATTCTGTAACCAAAAAAAAAAAAAAAATAACTTACAGAAGAAGTGAAAATAAACAAGGAATAGAAATAGTGAAGAAAAAACCCAACCCAGGCACACTGGTTACTTAGCAAACAACATCACATGTTATCAATGAAATCAAAACAAACTGTATAACTCCAACACTGTATACAAAACATTTGAACCATTATACTAGTGACTAAGGCATTTATCTAGCGTAACCAGCTCTTGGGTTAGATTTCCCAGAGTGTGAGATTTGTTGTTCCAGCTTGAAGGACCTTGAACCTGATTTAACCTTGTTCTAGCTCCCCTTCCCCCAACTCGAAGCAGCGAACCTGGCGTTCCTGTCTGCCACCGCCCCGTAAATGCCACCTACACAGCAGTTCTTTAGTGGCCCATGCTTGAGAGTCAATTAAATGATATTGGTTCTGCTTGCATCTGCACTGTCTTTAGGAGGCCTGGATATGATTATATTTACAAAAAAAAATGGGAGGAAGGCTCTTGTAAAACAAAAACAAAAAACAGTTTCTAAAAGTCGCCTTGATGTCATAAAATGCCCACAGCTTTAGTGTTACAATTAGGCCACAGCTTTACCCAATGCATTTATTAGACCAGCAGAAATGTATTCCATTTAATTCTTCACTCCGCTCATATTTACTGAATATTCTCCGTAAATATTTTGAAAAAAAAACAATTGTTCAAAATATGAGTAAGTAAATAAAAAATAAAAAAAACACATTAATTAGTGATTTATGTGAAATGCTCGAGTTTACCTTTTAAGGATTATTTTTTTTTTTTTTTGAGTCTGGACAGACGGTTGAAGAATGTGGTCAATGTTGTTTGAGAAGACAAGACTGAACAGCATTCTTGGTTTGGTGATGGTAGCTAATGCAGGAGAGGCATTATCAGGAACACTTAGCGCAATAACATTGATTTCTTGTAGCTTTTACAGTCGCCCATTGAACAGTATAATCTCTCCAGTGACAGTACAGTGGAAATGGGGGGGGGGAGGGGGGGGGGTAGATAACTGTATTTTATTCAAGATAGCAGTTACATTGTGATCTTAGCTGGAACCACATATCTGGAAAACTTCAACAGACTGTCAAACTGTACAGCTTATAACCCTTTGCATACTTCAGGACTATTCAACTGGTGGCCCACGGTCCACTGCCAGTTGTATTGTATTAATGATCTCTTTATACTGGGGCTCGAACCTTTGACCTCTGATGATACCCATTTAGTATATACTGAACAGCCCTGGCATACTCCTCCCCCCTCACCCCAACCAGGCTAGTGTTTGGTCTCTATATACAGGCAATGAGAGTTCTGCCTAGCATCTCGGAATATTTTCACACAGTTCACACAGAATCACGAAAAAAGGACATAATTACCAGTTTTCTCCCTTCAGGTGATTTATAGTAAACGTCACATATGCGATCTTTACTGTGTCTGCGACAGACTAGCTCTCGTCTCCAACCTGCAGAAATAACAAGCACAATAACAGCAAACTACTGGAGTCTTAGGATGATTTTGTTTTCAAGAACTATTTATCCAGTCTACAATTACTACATACAAATATACCCAGAAGAAATACATTTATTTGCAGTGATTAGATTTCACAATAAAGGAAGAAGACCTTGGAAAAGAGTTCAAAATACAAAAAAGATAAAACATAAAACATGAGAAAAACTTAAAAGATTGTGAGCACACCAGACTAAACTGCTGCCAAATCGCCTACAGCTGGGACCGAATCCGGCATTACAAAGCATGTCCGCAACACCTACGCCACAGAATCTCTGATAAATTAAATACATAAACAGATAATGTATACATTTATCTTAAATATAAAGTACATGTGTGTGTGTATATATATATACACACACACACACACATGTATATAATGTATACATTCATCATTCAGATAAAGTATATCAATATATAATGTATATAAATACATGTACATATTAATCTGCTCTGTTCTTCTGCCAGTGAAAATCACACCTACTGTCCTTCACTGTCCCATTTGAAAGCTAGTAAGAAACATGTCCCATATGAAAAATATGTCCCATTTGAAAGCTAATGAAAAATATGTCCCATTTGAAAGCTAGTAAAAAATATGTCCCATTTGAAAGCTAGTGAAAAATATGTCCCATTTGAAAGCTAGTAAAAAATATGTCCCACTTGAAAGCTAGTAAGAAACATGTCCCATTTGAAAGCTAGTAAGAAACATGTCCCATATGAAAGCTAGTGAAAAATATGTCCCATTTAAAAGCTAATAAAAAATATGTCCCATTTAAAAAGCTAGTGAAAAATATGTCCCATTTGAAAGCTAGTGAAAAATATGTCCCATTTGAAAACTAGTGAAAAATATGTCCCATTTGAAAGCTAGTGAAAAATATGTCCCATTTGAAAGCTAGTGAAAAACATGTCCCATTTGAAAGCTAGTGAAAAATATGTCCCATTTGAAAGCTAGTGAAAAACATGTCAATCATACACAAAGTAAATGCATAAGGCAGCTGACAGATGTGCCAACATGAACAGTCCCACAACAGATCTGCAGCCAACTGCTGATGCTAGCCGTCAGTTATGAAAGTTGGCAGTGAACATGTAACACTGCCTAGGTACACACCATTCCGAACATTAACGGCCACACTCCATTTTTAGAGCAGTTCACAACACATTCATTGCGGCACAGCAGAACAAATATTCCACCTGAAATCTACAGCTCAAAGTATCGCAGCAAGCACACAGCCCAGTAGCTGTAGGATGCAACCTTTCAACTCCTGGTCCAGAAACAGGGAATCTGCATACGTAAACTATTACTAGAAAAAATAGGTTTTTTAGAACATCAGCAGTAGGCCTGCAATCTGCTGTACATTTACTGCCTTGAGAAAATAGTAAGCGTATGTGCATGTTCATCTATCAGATAAAGCCTACAAATATATACAACTGTACACCCCTGTGTGGTTTCCGGGGCCCCATTGTGGGAAAAACAAGAATAGACCCACTGCCTCCCCAAAAGCATGAGTCGACTAATTGGGGAGCTTCCTTTGAAGTCGGAGTGCATCTGCCGGAGAGGCAAGGAACCAACAGTCTGTATTCAAAAGAATGAGATCTGTAAAACTGATGCACATGCAACACTCAGGTTCTGGAGCAGGACTGCAGTTCAGTAGTGGACGAGCAACCAGAACTTTCCGCCAGAGTGTACAGCTGGTGAACGCGAAGAAGAAGATACAACTGTACATGTTGCAGATAAAATATCCAAGTTTTTGCATTAATTTATTTAATCTCATTCCCCCTAAACATATGAGACATACAGGAAAATACAGTCTTATCTACAATTATGCTTACCACAAGTGAATGGCTTCTGCAAATGCTCCAAATCAGATTCATTAAACAACATAATCGTTGGGGAGGTAGCAGAATCTGTAAGGAGAGATGGTCAAAGATAAAGAGTTCACAGGGATGTTTCATGACATGCAACAACATAAACCAATTAAAGCAGTGCTCTCGTAAATCTGATGCAATCTTTTTTACATGGAATTTTCTTACAAATTTGTTACAACCAATCAATCAGGTGTCATCTCCACAGTGAAAGTTGACTGCATTGGATCTCCAACATGTTGTGTCTCTTGCCTTGGCTGCATATTCTCTCAGACTCCTATTTTTCCATCTCTTGACGTTGTCCTCCTGCATGTATCCCTGTCTTTCTCTTGCCCTTTCCCTCCAGTACCCGTTTAAAAAGAGTGTTATATCTTTTTAGTGAAAATATTTCAATTGTCTCTTTTTTAAATTTTCTTTCAGCATTTCTCTTTTCATTTGCAGTCTTTCCATAACCTATCATGTGACTGTTTTTGTTTCCATGAAATATGACCTATTCTTGTGTATACCCACACTTGCCCAGACTGAATTTGATTTTGTAACTGACTGTTCAATTGTCCCAGTTTCTGCACTATACAGCAGGGTTAAGCATACATAACATTTGATGATTCTCATTCCAATGTGTTGTTTAGCTCTCTAGCTGTCAATCATTTGTTGCAACTTACTCCAATTTCAAGCGGTCTGCTGTTGAATTCAAACCAACTATGCATATTCTAGAGAGCCAAGACTAGTATTCTTGTCTTCTGAATTGGTCTGAATGAATGAATGAAGAACTTCTTCTGCTTCGCGTTCACCAGCTTTAAAGTTCGGTGGAAAGTTCTGGTTGTAGGTCTACTTCTGGACTGCAGTCCTATTCCAGTACCTGAGTGTTGCATGTGTATCCGTTTTACAGATCTGACTCATGTGTATGCAGACTGCTGGTACCTTGCCTCTCAGGCAGATGCACTCACACTTCGAAGGAAGCTCCCAACAAGTCGACTCTTACGATATGCGTTTGGGTAGGCAGTAGGTCTATTCTTGTTTTCCCTATAATAGGGCCCTGGAACCCACACAGGCAAGAACTGGCATCACTGCACTCGGGACATTCCGACACGTGCTCCGTCCCCTTCTTCAGTAACCAATGAAGAGTTGACATGCTAAAAGTACTGGCTGCAACCTGATTAAAAGTCCACCTCTGTTTCCCCTCCAGTGTTGAACATCCTCTAGAATCTGCTCCCTCCCTGTCAAATTAGTCTTTCAGTGTTTGGATTCTCTGTGTGTTCTATTGTACTATCCATTTGATCACACAGAGCTGTTACCACATCCGCTTTATCATATAGCAGCTCACTGCCAAGAGGAGCGTCAGCAGCCAATCTATCAGTCTGCTGGTTACCTCGCACACCTGAATATCCTGGACAGAAAATTAATGAACTGCTCTTGATCTGGGTTGTTATCAAGTGATGCAAGTCACTCTGCGTACAGGACATCAGCTTCAATTTTCCAAAGCATTATCTGTTAGTCTGTTACAATCACAACATGCAGAGCTGTGCTGTTCTCAAACCATCAGAAGGCTACGGTTACTGCCTACACCTTAACTATCATAATGGATGTAGTGACATTGTTCGCAAGACTCTCTCTTTTGGTGACTTTGTCACCATGCATTTAAACCCCTAAGTTTGTGATTTGATAAAAATTAACCAGGGCTCTTAGTCAAAGGAAGATCCCCCCCAAAAAATCCCGGACAGATAAACTCAAGGACATGTTAATGAAACACCAAACACAGAGAGGGTACAACCAAGAAAACATGTCTGTGCTTTCAATGCAAGCGTAGCCATCTGGAGTTTAGCATGGTTGCTGGGGTTAGTTGTTCCGCATGAAGGCACTAATGAGAAACATGACATCAACTCTTCCCCCTGAAGGCACTAATGAGAAACATGAATCAACTCTTTCAGCTGCAGAAGATCATAGCTGATGCCTGATTAAAGCAATAATTATGACAACAACATCATGGGGAAACTGCACCCATGGGGGTCTATATACACAGCAGCATTGTATTGTTGGTGACTTGTGTTGCTGGGTTGATTTAGTTTGCCAAACATACAAAACATGTTGACTGATGCACTTAAGTCATATCCAGTAAATAAAGTGCTTTGTTTGGAGCTGAACGGGTTAACGATAACCTCAGACAAAGAACAAACGCACAGTTGAGAACATTAGAACAGTGTCCTCATTGTTTGCTATCTGGCAGAGACGATGACAATATCTGGAAAGGGAAATGGACGATGATTATGCTGATGATGCTAACAACACTGGCTACCATGGAAGCTAACTGCAGATATGGTCATATGTTTAGCAGGAAGCCTCACTGTCATCACCATCACAAAGTGCTGCTGGCATTAAGTGTGTGTTATCAAACACCATGCTTCCCCACCCCCTCCTATGTGTGGGTTTCAGAGCCCCATTGCCTACCCAAAAGCATATCGTGGCACTCTCCTGAATACCGGTCCTACTTCCCAGTAAATAATTTGGGATCGGTATTCGGAAGAGTGCCGGAAATTCTAATGTCTTAATTTCTATAAATAAAGCAATCTTCCCCAAGAAGCCCCACCTAAATGCTATTTTTAGCATTATTGTTCTTTAAAGGGTGAAAGGGTTACACAATATGACATGTTAATGACAGGGGTCATGATCATCACTTTGATATACTCCATACAACAGACAGGTCACCTGAACTGATGACTGTCTTCAAGTGCTGCAGGTTGTATTCAAGCAACAAATCCTCATTGCAGGATTCTGGGGCTGAAACCAAAGGAAACAAACTTTAGTCTTTCAAAGGAATCCTTTCAAAAAAGACAAACTTGCACAAACTAAGAATTCCTCCATACACACTCTTCAATGCTTCCTGTTCTGCTTACGTTTTATGTATTATTTAGTCTAAATATGTCTGTTCTACCATTGAGAAATGAGTAAGTCAATTCTATCCTAATATGTTGAGCATGTTAATACTTCTTTATTTATATGAGAGTGTAATTGCATGATGCTCATGGATGCGATGTGTGCATCTTTTGCCGGACACAATTTCTTCAGGCATTTTGTGACCAGATTAACTTTCCTGGTTAGTTTTGTTCATGTTAATTCTTCTTCTCCTCCTTCTCCTCTAGTCCTGTGTCTGCCTTCAGCATCAGGTTCTGAAGAGGCTTTGTGTGTAAGTAAGCCTGGGTAGGTTCTACGTAGATGTTGTTATTTACTGCCTCTGGTATTCTGTTAAGTTATTTCTACGCCGGGGAAAATGAGTATGTTAAATCTACTCTGGGAAAATGGGTCAGTTAATTATACCCTTCTACCTGGTAAAGGTAGGGATAGATGTTAATGCAACAGCCTACACCAATGGTTGTGTACAAAATGATGGTTTTATTTTTATTTTATATCTAAAACTTCAAGCATGAAGATGGAGGTGAAGACAATCACTGCAGCTCTGAAGTGGATGGTTCAATTATCAGATAAATCATAGTGTCTGACTCTCAGCTGGTTCTGCGGAAGATTCAGAATTGACAACCGTGGCATGATTGGATACCAAACACTGGTATGTCAATCTTATGAGGACCTTTCTGAGACACACAAGGTGGAAAGTAATGAAAAAGTTGATGTTTCGGCTAAAGAAATTACAGTGGTAGGAATACTTGTATTAGACAGGGGAAACATTCTGAAGACCATTTATGAAGGAACGCAGATGGAAGACACAATGTTAGATGAAATAACATGTGTTACATAGTATGAATTTGGAATGAAGTGTGTATCCAGTAGAAAAGGATATGCAAAAGGGAAAGTAAGATGTGTGCACAACTGTTCTGCTGCAGGAGCGACTGATATGCCTAAAATGCTACGATACTGAAACCAGTAATCCATACCCTCATTTAATGAGTTTAATTCTAGCCTGCGGAAACAAATATTTTACTTGTGTCTTAATTCCACTTGCTGAACTGGTCAACCATTTTGTGGACTATGAAATGCTTCTGACAGCATTAACAGCGAACCTCTTTGAAGTTTGATGAGGTACTATGGGATCTCAGAGGGAATAATTAACCTAGTAGAGACAACTTGTAACAACACAAGATACCAGGAAAGAACAGGTTTTTGACAGAAACTCTTTTACTGACCAGACTGAATAAAGATGACAGCAGGCTACTAAAGGAAATGGAATTCAGTGGACACCCAACAGAACAGCCTGATGATCTGGACTTTGTTGATAAAAATTCTTCCCTATTGCACTAAAAAAACAAATGCTAGATAAGTTAAATATACTGATAAGAGACTAATATGACTGGGTTTTCACATCCACTGAGGAAAAATAAGGATACTGATAATATACTGAACAAACAATCAAGTCTTCCTTAGTATCTGCCCCTCCCCCACCGCTCACCATCCAGCAAGTTGATGTAATACTTATCTGAGCTGTTATGTAGATAGGATGTGGGAACGGACAGATATAAAAAAAAATAATACACAAGGCAAAGAGTTTTTTTTTTCTGTAGCAGTAGGAATAATATAGAAGTCTCAGTGAAAACTGGAACCAAACTTGAAATATTTGGTTCCAATGTGAAAACAGTATAGTGCTGCACAGAGTTGGAACACTAACTAAACACACCGTTGACAGACTGCAGACATTCATTAGCTAGTGCTCACATAAAATGGAGGGAAAAGTGGTATGGCAGACTTGGTAATGTGGACAACTGGACAAATTCCATTGAATCAAGAGATGACGAGTTTTCAGTTTGTAATCTGTAGAACCAAATCTCTGAGGCCGCAATGGATTTTGCTGCTTGCTTACAAACTGTCCTGAATGCAGTTAAAGCTGGTTCCTTGTAACATGCAAGAACATTGTTTTAAACCTACAATGAAAGGGATTTGTTGCATAAGATCATTTTATTTAATGCATTTAGTGCCCTTTTCCCCCTCTCGTTATCATTTATTAAAAAAAAAAAAAAAATTAAATGGAAATGCCACTTACTTGTTGTCCACCGAGATTTTCTGGCAGCTTGGGGAGGGGTAAAAACCGGAGGCATTTTATCTAATAAAATTGTTGCAACATCAGTGGATAATTGTCTAAAAGTGGTTGTGGGCGAACTAGCTTGTTCAGAAGAGGAATCCACTTGCAAATTTGATACAACATTGTTGTGACTGCCAGAAGTGTTCTTCGGTAAATTCAAGACGTCTGGGCTTCTTTCAGTGTTCTCATCACTATCACTGTCATCAGTTATAACAACCACACTGTCATCGTCTGCTACATCAATAACCACTGCACTCTCGCCCACAAAGTGATCATTTGCTGTCGAGGAGTCATTCAGCACTTTCTGTACATTTCCCTTCAAAACAGAAATACAGTAATCTAGAATATTCTGTGGTGGATGAGAACATAAAAAGATAATTTAATGGCACATCTCGCCTCCCAAATTGTGACATGATCCTGTATATTATAAAGGTTAAAGGTGACAAGATAAACTTGACTGCACAGGGTTTTATACCACATAGCTTGGTATTTCTCTGAGTGTGTAATATGTGTGAAATGTGCGTGTCTGTGTGGGTAGGTAGGTATGTGTGTGTGGGTGAATGGCGGTGTGTTTATGTGAGTGCGTGAAGGTATGTGGGTGTGTATATATGCGTGTTTAAGTGAATGGGTGGGCGTGTGTGTGCATGCATTTTACCACCCGTGCTTTTGTGTGTTTTTTTCTTGATATTTATAATATGCATATTATCATATTAATATAACATGCTTATTGATAAAATACAGCTGCTGTATGAAAGCCGGGTGTTTGGAAGGGTCGAATGTAAGATGAGCCTGCGTGCCCAATTCGTGACCCTTTGAAAGTAAAGTCTGTTCATTCTGCAGAACAGCTAGCCACCTGCCCAGAGCACCACACACAGCACAAGCTCAACAGCACCAGTGACCATCCCTAGCAATCTCCGCAAAAGTTGTGACTGTGAACCATTTGACACAGCTGTGAATTGAACTTACGATCTTCTGAGCACGAGGCAAACAGCCCGACCACTTCTGTCATGTAAATGATGAAGGGGGCCAACCAGTTACCTTGTCCTACTGGGTTGTTCTACCAGAGAAATGCCTGAGCATATTTCATGTGCGCAAAACATAGACAATATAGGGGAAACATTTAATGCGGAAGTGTGGATACAGTGATCACATGCCACGTTTTCACCCGGACAGTTCTTTTATAGGTGTGCCTTGGCCATCCCGTCAGTACTGCAGAAAAACACCAATTGTCATGTTTTATAGAAAACCTAAGGATAGAGGACTTTGGGGGCAGTAAATCCACATCACTCACCAGAATGGCAGACTTGGGAATCAAGATCAGCACAGCAAAAATGGAGACGCACACCAGACGACTTGTTTATCAACATAGTACTGGTACTATGAGCCATCGGGCGTTCTGGTTCATACTGAGGAGAGGAACTGAGCACCTATGGACATGTCCGGAGTGCAATGATGATAACCCAACTAACTAACTATAGAAAATCTAGGATTTATCTTGAGAATAAAACACACACTTATGGTTAATATTGTAAACTTTATTATATGCCACAGTTTCAGATATTTTTAATGACTGAAATGTTCATGTGGCAGTTGGAAATCAAAAACATTAGACTAACGGCGCTGCCTGACAAAATTTGGAGTTTAAAAAATCTTCTTAAAGCAGTTCAGGATCCTCGCTGATGCAATAAAGTTCGTGCATTGCGATGAGATTCTTCAGACTCAGGCTTGAGTTGGAAGAAGAACGGAGCACTTATGGGTTACACCCGTGTGCCATAATGTTAATCTATTGAATAAACAAAGACACACAATGGCAGTGCTGGCAGTAACAATGACCTTGCACTGTTTTGAGTTATAAAGATACATTTATGCTTGCAGATTAAGTAATACACTGAGCTTGATGTAGAAATGTAAGGTGGGTTTCCCTTGCAAGCATTCCTTGTATGTGTTCTGGAGCCCTATTATAGGGAAAATGAGAACAGATTCACTGCCTACCCACAAGCAGGTTGTAAGAGTTGACTAACTGGGAGCTTCCTTTGAAGTTAGAGTGCATTTGCCTCAGAGACAAGGAACCAACAGTCTGCATACAAATAAGTCAGATCTGTAAAACGGATGCACATGCATCACTCAGGTTCAAGGAACAAAATTATTGTCCAAAAGTGGACGAACAACCAGAACTTTCCGCCAGAGTTTACAGCTGGTAAATGCAAAGAAGAGGTTCTGAAAAAAAAAAAGAGCCCAGAAGCTGATCAACAATCAGCATTTTCACCAGAGTTTACAGCCGGCGAATGCCAGGAAGAGAATAATCAAAGGAAGAAGGAGAAGAATAAGACATCTTCACTACATTTTTTGGCATCCATGGTGTTCTCATAATTGTTCTATGACTCCCCATCTCTCAGACTTCCAAAGGATTAATCAATATGCTTCAAACTCTTAAACAACACACATCAAAACTATCTGTTCCTATTAAGAGTTACCAGTAAAACAACTGATCTATGACATAATATAATCAGCAACAGAGAAAAAAAATCAGCAACACGTACCATGTTTTCCCTTACATCTTCGTGAGGTCTGTGAAAGCTCAAGTTTGGGTGTGTTTCTGTCTGCGGAAACAGCTGTGATGTCACGGGATGTGTGATGAGTTCACTCTCAACAACCTGGTCTGGAACTGTGGCCTCAAACTGCAAGCCTTTGTGTTTAGTGAGCTCATCTCCTCTCTGATGCCTCAAACTGTCTAATGTGTTTACACTGTCGACTCTTATCTCTCTCAGCTCAACCACATCATCATCATCTGCAATGTCTATTTCTACAGCACTCTCATCCACAAACTGTGCAGCATTCAGTGCAGATTTACTGCCCACTTCTGCCATTCCAAAAACAAGACTTTCCTTATGCACATGAACCATCTGTGAGAACACACAGCTCCTTTAACTCTTGTCCTAAACATGTCAAATATTTAGTACACATTCTCACTCCCTGAAGTCTTATGCTGAATTCAGTGCTACAGTAAATGTGCAGTGCAGGTTAACACTTGAAGGCTGTACAGCCGTAGTGAGTCAACAGACTCAGTTATCCAGTTGTGGTTGTGTCAGCAGACTCAGTTATCCACAGCTGTGGTGAGTCAGCAATCTCAGTTATCCACAGTAGTGGTGAGTCAGCAGGCTCAGTTATCCACAGCTGTGGTGTGTCAGCAGGCTCAGTTATCCACAGCTGTGGTGTGTCAGCAGGCTCAGTTATCCATAGCTGTGGTGTGTCAGCAGGATCAGTTATCCATAGCTGTGGTGAGTCAGCAAGCTCAGTTATCCACAGCAGTGGTGAGTCAGCAAGCTCAGTTATCCAGAGTTGTGAAACAGGCTTAATTTATACACAGCAGTAAGCACTATCGCTTCTCTGGAAAGTTATTTACCGCTATATGATGGCAACATTTTAGTTTTCTGCAAAAGATAATTACACAGTGTACTTAAAATGGATTAAACAAACTGGCACAAGCCTCAGTGTTTGAGGTCATGTGGGTCACAGCAAGAGTCACCTGATGCTTATATTTTTGTAGCTGGTGGGGAATTTATTCGACTGAATGCTTCCTGCTGTTTATGTCCACAGATTACCTCTTGTATATATGTATACATTTTGACAAGTGTATTAGTGGCCTGTGTAAAATTGTTTTTAAAAAGTATTTTCTTGAAACTTCTCACACAGCGATGACCCATTTAAAAAAAAGCATTTCTAAGGTAAAGGTGTTTAAAAATACTGTCAAATGATGGTTTCTTCCTGAGTGGGCTCCGGGACCCTATTGACCAAGGGAGGAGGGGGTGGCTCCCTATCAAGCATTGCAAAAGAGATGACTAATTATTAGTGTTTCTTATGAAATGCATCTGCCTGATAGGTGATGAAGCAACAGTCTCAGACAAATAAGCCAGATCTATAAAATGAATGCCTACAAACTCAAGTCCTGGAAGAAGATTAAAGTCCATAAGTGGATAAATAACCAGAACCTTCTACTGGAGTATACAGTCAGTGAACACAACAAAGAAGAAGATTGCCGGTTCCTAACTGTTCTGCAAAATCAACTACTATTTTGGAGTTAGGGTGATACTGTTCCCGGATTCCTAGCTGGTGATCTAAAGTTTGAATCTCATCCAGACTTTTGATAATAAACTTTTGGCCACAAGTCAACCCCACCTTACATTGTTTCCAGGAAATTACTTTTGAAGCAAAGGTGGCTAGCATGATTGTGGCCAAATAACTCATTATGATCACCTACTAAGTGCTGACTGTTCTTTAACAGTGGGGGTTTAGACCATATGCCAGTGGGATCACTGGTAAGTAAGGTCGGTCCTTTACTTGGCAACTATTCACTAATCAAGCAGAAGTTAATTGTGCTTTTTTTCCTCATGTAGGGCACTTGTAATTTGGTAGGAAAAAACACAGTTTTTGAAAATCTCAGAATACTCCAAGGCAACCAAAAACAAACCCCCTTTTCTGAAAAGTTAGATCTTGTTGCTCCGAACACAAAATGTAGAGTTTCTAGGAATTTTGCCAATACTTAATCCTACTAGACCTGAGGTCCTGAACCTAACTGCCCCCTTTACCCGAGCTCCTAAGCATTAACACGAAAAAACAAACATGATATACCATCATTAATTACATGCAAACAAGTGGTTAGAATAAGATGAAACTTGGGGACATTGTAGAAAATAGGTTTACCTTTCATATAGTGCTGATGCTGGCGACCCGCCTCCTTCTCTTACTATCAATTTAGTTTTAAATCTATAATTTCCAAGATTCTCCTCATCACGAGCTCTCACTGACTGTGTCACTTCAACTGGGAACTTATTCTTCATGAAATTCTGATTCCTCAGGGTCCGAATCAATTACCTGTTGGACTGTGAAAAGCCTGGTTTTACTTCCCTTTCCTGTCATAATACTTGGTTCATCAGCCGCTCGTTTCATTGTGAATTTTTAGAATTTTGTCACGTTAAACCACACAAAGTAAATCCAAACACACATGGGCAGCCATTCGCAATGATTAACCATGAAGTTTGATACCTATTGGTTGGTTATTTTTAGTCTGTGACGGGGAAAAGATTGCAGTGGTCTGGTAGAGTTAAAAAGTTAAAGCTGTTATAAACATTCCCCAAAGACATATTTTCTCGGCAACAAGATTAAACTTGCGTTAACTTGTTCTTCTTTATTAATTGTTTCCATAAATACTTCAACAGCTCAGCTTAGAAATGACATACAGGCCTGAATGAGGTAACATTGAAAAGAGCTTGGCTATCCTCCGAATAACGGCCACATATTATGGCGGCCAAAAACACACCCTGAGAGGGCCTCAATCACATGTAAACTGCGGACTTCCTTCGACAAACACATAGTGGCAAAGCTAGGATTACCGTCCGTTGACAATTTTGAGAAATGCAACAATACACACAATAATAGCAATATGGGGTGTAGAGCACACGCTCTGACGCAGGTTAGCGATAGTGTACTTCCGATTAAACTCCCCACCGAGCGTATCCCCCGTGCCGCTACCCGAGGATGGGGAGCTAAACTAGATGGCTGGGACTCTTGAGCAGCAGCTACCGCATCTCCTGCAATTTCGTTAAATTTATTTGCTCCTGAGTCCCAGCCACAGTGGCATGGGAGATACTCTCGGCAGTGAAAACTCAGTTACCAATGGGGCACCGATCATATTTAGCCGAGTGTCAATGGTGCCACAGCCAAGATATAAAGGCCTCAATTATCGCTAAGCAGTTGATTTCGTCATTTTCCCTTTTTTCGTTTCTCATTATTTTCGAGTTCAAGTTTTTAAATGTTTACAACACACGACCTAATGAGGCCCTGTCAGGGTGTGTTTTTTTGCCGCCATAATATGTCGCTGTTATTCCAAGGATAGCCAAGAGCTTTTTAATATATATCCAGGTTTTTTTTAGGAGGCAAATTCTGAAAATGTGAGGACCAGAATGAAGAATGCCAATGGCAGGCAATACAAACAATGACAATAGATAAAGATTGGCTTGAGGGGGTAAAGTCCTCGACATCTCGTTCCTGATCAGTGAGATAGTGTTGATGTTTATTTCTTATTACAGACACGCTCTGTGGGAATCTTTGTCTTTTCTTCCTCATCAGTAAAATGTTTTAAGTTTGGTAGTTTTAGTTTACTAAACAATACCAAATCAACCATTATATTAATTAATGATAATTCCTGTAGAGTTTTCATCTCAGTTCCTAAAAAAAAAAACACACACAAACTAGCCGCACGAGATTGTTTTGTGAAATTATGGATAAAAATACTGTTCATAAGATATTGTTAATTACACACACACACAAATTTACCAGGTAAATAACAACCAAATTAAAGCCCAACAATCCGAACACTTTCAGCGTCCCTGGCGTTTTCTGGCCATCTTAGGAAGAATATTTGACCTTTGACCTAGTATAGCTTAGCAGTAGAAAATTGTCCTCGACTTCCTATGGTTCGTGAGTTGAACGTGGTTGCCTGTACATGCACGTTTGTACACGTGAGCGTGAAAGCGTTTACTGTGCACGTGCGTTGGTTTTAATTAGATAGAAGATAGGGGGTATCACGAAAACAGCTATTTATATTTTTAAAATTTTAGCTAGAGGATTGAGCCTTCTTTATCAAAGACTCGAAACCAGCTATCCATAAACATCAGCCAAAATGGAGATTCACAGTTGTTGCGAAACAGGTGATGAAATGTTCACGGACACCTACCCACTTGAACTTGTGGGTGGCCTGTTCAGGATTTAAAGGCAGGTATGTTTCCCGATCAGAAAAGTTTGACGATTCTAAAATTGGCGCCAATGCCAGCGCTGAAGAGCAGCAGGATAAAGGAGCAGAGGAAAGCAGCTACTCCGGCATAGATGTCGTCCTTGACAACAGGCTACAGAAAACTGGCTTTTGCTCAAAGAAAGAATTCATGTCATATTTCAGGGACTTTATGAAGAAGGTAGAGGCATACAAAAAGGAGAAGAATCCAGATTTTGACGTGACAGCCTGGCACAAAAAGGAGAAGAATCCAGATTTTGATGTGACAGCCTGGCACAAAAAGGAGAAGAATCCAGATTTTGATGTGACAGCCTGGCACAAAATGGAGAAGAATCCAGATTTTGATGTGACAACCTGGCCAACTGAAATCCAGAATACTTTCAAGGCTGTCCTTGCCAGTTTGGACCAGTATGAATTCTTCACTGGACAATCCTGCAACCCAGATGGTAGCATTGCCATGGTGAAATGGGAAACCCCAGCAGGAGAGACAGATTATATTCCTTATCTGTACTTCTTTGCTGATGGTGTTAGGGAAGAGAAAGTTTGATTGGATCAAGCGGACACTGCTGCATTCTTGTCACGGTCAACAAACTCATCTCCAGTCCAGCGCACGCTGATGGACACTTTTTGCCTACCAGGGAATGTTTTATTGGTTTATAAAATTGCATTTGCTACGTCATCAAAACCCCCAGCCCCTCTGATTTAGTTTATGTTGTATAATTGAGGCTTGTTCCCGTTTAGAAACGGCAAGGGATTATTGCGATTAAAGACAAAATTTGTTAGAGCTAGGACTGCTGAAGCTGTGTACGTGACGACTTGTTGTTTTGCATGAAAGTGACTTTCTTGGTGACATCATATATACTTGTGGAACAAGGTTTAAATTCGTTACAGAATATAAATGATTGAGTATACTTATATTTCATGAAACAAACAAAAACTAATCTCAATGTACAAATAAATTATATAAACACCAAAAAAAAAAAAAAAAAAAAAAAATAACAGCTATTTAATTATTATCAAAATCCTCACATAACCAACGACCTTAATTATAACCCTCTTTGAGGGTGAACAGGGTAATCTTTACAGCAAAACAAAAACCAGCCTCTTGACTTGCGTATTCTGATCCTACCGGTTGCCCAGGGATAGGAAATCCCACTTATCGGCCTCGGCACCGCTCATGGGTTCGGTCGACTGAGCGGAGATAGATTAATTGTCTGATCGATTACGGAGGTGGTATGTTTCAATAGACGGTGTTAGGTCTACATTTCATTCAGTAGTCAAAGGGCCCTAGATTTCTAATGTGCATTCTTATTTGGTGATAGTTTGACTGCAGGTCGCTGGAGGCGATTTACTGATCTAGTGATATGTTGCGACTTGAACGTATATATTAACATTTTCGATTTTTACCACCATTAATGTAATGATAGCAGAAGATGGTAGAATTGACAGAGAAATAGAAACCAGATGCCAGAAAGCAAGTGCACTTATGTACCAATTGTCACCATTATTAAGCCATCCAAGCATAACTACGAAAACAAAGAGACAGATTATTAATAGCATATTCATTCCAACATTAAGCTAACAGTGTCAAACATGGACACTATCTAAAGCCCATATACAAAATCACTACCTGCGAGATGAGGTGCCTGAGAAAAGCAGCCAAGCTAACCATCTGAGATCGAGTGAATAATGAAACTATCAGGCAAATTGTGGGAACCACACCTTGTACTACATTCACCGAGAAACAGCAGATTAAGCGGTTTGGCCATCTTGTTTGAATGCCGCAAGATCAAATACTATCACAAGCACTACATCTCAGAAGATCAGCTACAAGAGCAAGAGTACGGCCGCGGAAATAATGGATCGACAACATTAAAGACACTCTACGCCTTCACGGCATGACAATAGAAGTGGCAGCCAACGTGCACTGGATCGCAAATTATTCCTCCCCACGACGCTTAACGGCAGAAGTGGTTTATGATGATGATGATGATGATGCAATTTTATTGAATATATGCGGTAATTATCTAATTTCCTTGCTGGCTGGAGTGAGTAGCACATGTTCTGTCCGAACACGATTTTGGTTGTTAATGTATTGTTATGTGTGAAACACTTAGTTTTGTGCTCCGGGGAAAAAAAACCAGATGTTGAATGTGATGGTTATATTCATTTGCTTGATTCAAGATAGAACTTGTAGTTCGTACACGTAGTCTGACTAGGCGTTGCCTATGTAGTTTTAGTCGTGTGTTGTTGTTATTGTTGTATAGCTCATTATTCACATGTCCTCTGCCTGGATTATAACATTTCATGGCCTCTGCACAGAAGAAGCCTTGTCTTTTTTTTTACTTTTCCTGTTTTTTTACTGTTCAGCTGGAAAATACTAATTACCCTAACCACATTTCTTTTTCCTCTTATCCCTGCTTCTACTTTTTTCCTTTCCTGTTTCCGCTAGCACAATATCTTTTAATACAAATGTTTCAGTTAAACATTTAAATGTATTTAAAGAGCGGCAACTCTTGAACATGGATCCTCAAATTTATTTATACGGAGTAACGTCCCATCCGCTAGTTTCTGGTTACAGCATATTTTGTATCGTGTGTTGGTTTATCTAACGGATTAACACCATGGCACACGGGTGTAACCCATAAGTGCTCTGTTCTATTTCTAACTCAAGCCTAACTATGAAGCAGCTGTGTTGCACTGGCGAGGATCCTGAACTATTGTGGGTAGATTGTTAACTCCAAATGTAGTCCGGGCAGCGTCGTTGGGCTACTCTTTTCGATTTCCACCTGCCAAGGGATTTTTTTAACGAGCGCAACAATACACATGGGAGTCCGACCTCACCGCCCAGAGGCCAGGGGAACTTGCTAATAGTCCACGTGAAAAGATCCCAGCATTCACAGGTGCTTGAACACGGGACTCCAGCACTTGAAGCTGACACCATGTCTCGAGACCACGCAGTCCCCACCCCCCATGTTCTGTAACTCCCTCCCCCCGCCCACACCCCATTGTAATTTTTTTTAAAAACTTTGGAGAGTCTACCAGCAAACACACCCTCCTCAGCCCATAAGGAAAAATTTGGTGCGAGCTTACACCACTCTAGCCTTCGACTTTCACATTAGTTTAGAAAACATTAAGGGACCCACAAAACTAGACCCTCCTTTTCTGGGAATAAAATGGGGGAGGGCGGGGGGGGGGGGGGGGGGGGGATTGGGGTCAGGTATGTGAGCCGCCGCAGCCCCCCCCCCTTTCGCACCCCTCCAAAGTTTGTAATGGGGCTAAGATGTAAAAAGTATCTTTCAAAGTATGTGTTCATACTTTCCATATGATTTAAAATATATTATTATATTTAAGGTATTTGCCATTCCATTAATAGTATAAATATATTTATTATTTATTATTATTATGATTGCTGAATGGTAAGTAAATATAATAATATGTCTGAAATAATACTAAATATATCAGAAATTACGTTTAATGAAAATTTCTATACATGACTACACGGGTCTCCTAGTCTGCTTACACAATTATTGGGCCACACAAAAAAATCACCCGGCCATGTGATGCTATTTCTAGCAAGGAAACAAATTATGTCTTCCCAAATAACCCATACACGCCTAACACGAAGCACTGGCTTACTATAATTATAAGTTAGGACAGACGCAGACACGCAGTATCATTGAGATTTGCTGGGATTGGTTCTTTTTCTATTGGAAGTAAGGTGAAGTTGCTGGATGCCTGTTTACAGTAAACCTTCTTCAACGACGAGCTTACGCTAATTATTGGAAGGAAAGGGGCCTGAGGCAGAGTCGTTTTAACAGCATTATGGGCCCTGGGCAAACATTGTACTGAACACCATCCGACAACCACCCATAGGAATGGCGTTTTTATGTTTGGTAAGTCACTTGACACACACAGATTAAGATTGGGGCTCTATGCTCGTGGGGCCCCGGGGCAAGTGCCCGGCAAGCCCGTACGTTAAGACGGCAATGGGCTGACAGCCCATGCCTTATTTATTGTTTGGAGAGGACTAACCACTTAATGGCTCTAAGCACCTTTGCACGCACAACGCACATACACATACTTACGCAAACGCACACTCGAATAAACAAAAATGTATCTGCATGGCGAAAAATGTATATGTTTTGTCCCTCCAGGCTTCTGCATAGCGAAAAATGAATACGTTTGGTCCCTCCAGGCTTCTGCATGGCGAAAACTGTATACGTTTTGTCCCTCCAGGCCTATTAAGTTTAAGATTGAGGTAATTGGTGATTCCATGTCTATCGTGTGTGTTATTTTCTACTGTTGCCTGCGTTTTGTTGAAATTTTTCTGTACGAAATTTTCATATTTTTACATTTTACAAATTTCTTCTCTTGCCGTTATTTGTGTTTTCAGCTTAATTTAATTTACTATCAATCTTGTCTACTGTTTTCCCAATTTGGTTGCCGATAAAGGTTTTTATTATCTGTGATTATTTATATCTGCTTACAGTTTGCTTCAAAATCTTTGAATACTTTTCATGATTATTTTGTTGTTGTTGTTGTTGTTGTTGTTGTTGAGACTCATGAAAACACAACCTCCCACAAACAATAAATACGGCTAGCGAACACCGAACGAAGCCAGCTCATAACACCCGCATAACATATGACAGGTCGGGCGACCCACCGTGGCATGAATAGGAAGGGAAGGAACTCTCCTCACGTGACAAGATCGTGAGAAGCTCCCTGATTTATTATCTATAGTTGCTTTTTGTTGGTTGTGATTACTTTTTATGACAGGATCTGAACCCACGATCTTCGGATCCGCTGTAGAGCGTCTAGCCGCTAGATTACAACGGCTCCCAGTGAGGCCCAGTCAGTTTGTAAATTTCATGGAAAACTCAGCCCTCCCCCCGCCCGGGAGCATTTTTGGGGACAATGGATGGAGGGGGGGGGGGGGGGTCGTGGCCTTCGGAAGGTTTCCGCCCTCGTTCTCCTAATCCCTGCTATGTGGTGTAAACATACAATGTCCGCGGTCTTATGTACCTTATACTGTCTTATCTTTTCGAACACAGACCCTCTACCGTGTCCTGATGCTCCAGTAGGGACAGGGCGCCTGTCATGATGCTTCTGTCCTAGCAGTGCCTATCATGATGCTCTTGTCCTAGCTGGGCGCCTGTCATGGTGCTCTTGTCCTGGCTAGGCGCCTGTCATGATTCTCTTGTCCTGGCTGGGCGCCTGTCATGATGCTCTTGTCCTAGCTGTGCGCCTATCATGATGCTTCTGTCCTGGCAAGGCGCCTTTCATGATGCTCTTGTCCTAGCTGGGCGCCTATCATGATGCTCTTGTCCTGGCTGGGCGCCTGTCATGATGCTCTTGTCCTAGCTGGGCGCCTTTCATGATGCTCTTGTCCTGGCTGGGCGCCTGTCATGATGCTCCTGTTCTGGCAGGGCGCCTCTCATGATGCTCCTGTTCTGGCAGGGCGCCTTTCCTGATGATCCTGTTCTGGCAGGGCGCCTATCATGGTGCTCTTGTCCTGGCTGGGCGTCTGTCATGATGCTCCTGTTC